TCGCGAGTAAGGGCGGAGAATATAATAATGTCTTTCAAGGTTGATTATTGACGAGAAAGTGAGCGAGGAAGCGGATTTGAACGAGGCCGGAGCGAATGCGAGAGAATTTTTAAAAAACCACCAGAAAAAAATGTCTTTTTGACAACAAAAAGCGCCAAAAAAAAAAAAAAAATCGATGTATAAAAGCAGAGTGAAGAGTGTGCATGAGAAACAAGAGTGGATGGGAAGGATGATTGATGACAAAAGTAAGGGAATATCAATGGAAGAGAAGTTTACAGAATAAGAGAATAGAAGAGACAAAGAACGAAGTATACAAGATTGGAAACGTTGGTGTGCAATAGTCGCCGAGAAAGCTCAAAGATGAGTTGGGGAGATTTCAAAGAAGAATAAGAAGAAGAAGAGGAGGAGGAGGAGGAGGAGGAGGAGGAGGAAAAAGATTCTTGGATTCTCTTCCGTCTACAGACAAGGATTTGGTGCGAGGATCTTTTTTGTAAAAAGTTCAAAGCAGAAGTTTCTAAGGCGATTCGTGGGAGTAAAAAGTCAGAATTGACTTTCTTTGAAAAGTATTTCAAGTACAGCACAACTACAAACACGTATATACACATACAGAAGTATACATGCTCATCCATATACACACGTATTATGTATATAAGAAAACGACAAAAGAAGCAGAATTAAGAGATTCAATATCAGAAAAAAATGCGCATTTATTGCGAGTCACACGTGGAGGAAATTCAAATTGAATGAACACGGCGCTCATACTTAGTATTACCATCGCATACATACTACCTGTATAGCCACATATGGCATATGTTCATCATGAGAGTAAACACAGAAGTGCGAGAATCTTTGAGAGACTGAAGTCACATTGAGAGAAATTCAAGAGAGAAAGAGAGAGAGAGAGAGAGAGAGAGCTGGTGGATAGCTGGAAATTTTCTCAACAAGCGAAAATCTATATACAATTTTATCATGGATGGAGAATACACATATGCATACACGTGTGAATACAAAGATACACGGTGCAAATTGAAGATTTTTTGATGTCCACCCTCGCGTGTGAATGTGGATCCGTTCTTCTGAAGAAGATATATCACAAGAAGAACGAAATAGTGCAAAATTCTCAAATGTTTCTTGGCATCGTAGACACTCTATCTTATCTATCTTTTTTCCCAACCTATTTTCTCCTTTTTTACTTTCTTTTTTCTTTCACTTTCACCATTATTATTTTCCTTTCTGATAATAGCGAAGACAAAACTACTGGCCAAAAGTGTACGCAGCAGAGAAGCGTCCAGCTTCTCGTCCCTTGACACTTTACGATGATAATATTATGAATCCTGTCCCTCTCTTATACCATACTTTTACACACATATTGCGCATATCCCGTCCACATTTCCTCTTTATTATTCTTTTTTTCTTTAGGGCCCTTCTCAGGGCCCGCAAATGTTTCATTTATGGAGTAGCAGCTCCTCGGTAGAACTAAACAAAAAAAAAAAAAAAAAACAAAAAACAATCTGTCCTTTTCAGGACAAAAATCTCAAACCTTTCTGTTCGTCTTCCGAGGACGAAAACACAAACGTTTCTCTTGCAGGGGAGAAATCTAAAAAGTACAAACAACGGAATTTTCCAAGATGAGAACTTCGAGTACCTGAACTATTAGCATCTTGTTTTTCACTTTATTGCAATGCTGCGTTGGATTTTACTCGACTTTGCAATCGTGTTGGGTATGTATATTTCCAGTAGCATAATGTTTATGTATTAATTGTATGTATCTTTATTATAGCGTTCAACAGTTCAAGATGACTGACACAAGCGTATTTGCATGGAAACTGAAGAAGGTCGTGGAAGAACTGCGGCATAGAATGTTCAGGAAGTTTTAAGTGTGTCACGACGTTTCACTAGAAAAGCAAATGAGTCTTATGATTTCGTTGACCTCCTTGCCATACGTTCCTTTTGTGAACAATTTTTTTTATCAGATTATCTTTGTACGATTCAATTTTTTTTTGAAATCTATAGCACATGATGACTTCTTCTTTTGCAATGAGATTTATATAATTGCGCAACGCAAATTCCATATCTTGGCCGTGTTTTGAAGATTCATGCTTACGCGTGATTATGACGTCGTAGACGAGAGAATAAGTAACATGAAGACAGAATGTCATAGAATTGAAAAGATTACACGTCAAAACAGCGAAGAAATTCAAGTATCTACTCGATTGCTATTGTTTTATTATTTTAAGAACTGACTTTGAATAAATATATTTTTATACAATGTAAAAGTATTCGTTTATTGAATCCTATTATGAACAATTCCCTGAAGTCAATTTCAGAAGAAATTGTCATAAATAATCATTATGATAAAAATTGAAAAATTATAAATTTTTATCTGTAAGATAATATTTTCGATACATATTACACGTGCTGCAATTAACAATATTTCAATTTTATTCTAACTTGAATTAGTAGTATTTTAAATACAATAAACACAGTAAGTACTTAAAACAAGTGCTTATTGAACCGTACTATATGAAGTTCGACAATTCAGTTTCTAAATAACTCTCGAAACAGATGTGGCAACTTGTCCATACTTTTTGATTTTAATTTTCAACTAAAAGTGCTACGATGCAAAACTTGGTTAAATTAGTACGACAGAATGTGACACCAAAATGAAGGGGTCCTAGGACCCCCATAAAGGGCCTCCCCCCCTAGGACCTCGAAATCATGGGACAAAAAAATACATTGTATGTTAGGTAAATTCATATACTTTGTCTGTGGCACGAAATAAATCAACAAGCACATTAATTATTCAATGTTTACTGTACTTATCGCCAACCTTGTTTCTAAGGGCCCGCAGTAGTTAAGTGGACAAGGTACAAAGACTAGCAATTGCATAATTTCGACTTCAGAATTTTTAACATGATTTATATACTGCGTAGGCAAAAAACTACAGTATATAAATCTAATTGTCACTTTCATTCACAGCACCACAGTTCCTAAGTCCATGCTCCATAGTGTTCTGTTTTTGTTTCCTTAGTAATTGATGAGGTATTAAATTCATAAAAACAAACTATTGCTTCTTTCATACATTTTCGCAATGAACTTGTTTTTACTACATTGGTTGAGTTTACTTCAAATTACATACTTATGATATTTAAATCACGAAATGTCTAATTATACCTAATTTTAGATATTGCATGTTATTAGAAAGAAATATGAAAATAAAACAGCGTGTTTTGAAAATTTTTGTCGTTTTTATAAAAAGTAATATATTTCATCATACAATAAATATATGTAGATTGCAAGATAATAATATTAGTAATACAGTGCATAAATAATATGTATTTATAATATGTATTATTTAAAATTCTTACAATAGCTGCCTTGGGATTTTCCAAATTTCTATATTTCCCTGTGTGTCACCAATGGCCACCATATTTCTGTAAAATAAATATTACAAATGACATAACGTAGATTATTAACTATATATCTATTACTAATGTATGCTTACTTCTTTAAATTCACACGTAAGCAGCTAGTGTTTTGTCTGTCGTTCGTTTCAAAATTTACGTTTGTCACAGATTTTCCATTAGTGACATTGTATAATCTAATATCCGAGCCAGCACCGTAAGTTGCCAAAATATCTTGATCTCCGAACATCCACGTTAAACCGACGATTGTATTTTCACAGGAAATTGATCGTAAGTTCGTGTGCTAGGTTACGTAAATATTTTAATTTTAATTACATTCAAAGTAGAGATTGTAAAGAAAAAAATTGTCACCTCTTCGAAATCATATATGCGAATTTCTTTGTCGGTACCAGCAGTAACAAAAAGATTACGTATCGGCGAACATTTAATGCACGTAATGCTACCTTCGTGTCTTTCATACTCGTCTATTACAGGATCCATTAGAGTTTCATCGTCTAAAATGAAAAGTTGGTTATCACTTTAATACAGTAGAACTATTTAAGTTGAGAATTCATTGGGTAAATCCATACTTTCAATAGGAGCAATGCGATCTAAACTACATTTATATATTCCACCGCATAAGGTACCCACGATAAAGAATATTGGATCTCTCGACGAAAAATCAAAGGTGGTAATACACAATCCACATTCCACAGCACGTTCGCGTGTTCCACTTGCGCTACATGGCCTTGAGTTCTCTATTGGATTGTGCTCTTTGATTACTTTCAATCTAAAACAATATATTGTGATTATAAATCTCTTTAAGAACATCTTGATAGTATTAAAAAAAAAAAAATTACCGTTTATATACACGTGCAATTGTAAAATTAGCCATCATCTTGTGGATAAAGATATATCCATCTTTGCTAGAGCTCACTAGTAACGACACGTCATTTATTGTTTTTGCTTTCCAGTACACTTGAGATACACAATCTCCATGAGTGCAAATTGTTGTTGGTGCCACTGATATGTCATCTCTTAAGTTCCATACAAGAACATCACCTTTATACAAATTTATAGTTATATTTCTTAATGTATACTTTTTTGGAAATATTATAATTGAATAGATAATTATGTATTTTAATGACTTTTCCGAATTTTGCTTATTTTGATACAGTTTTTCCTTAAATACTTGGTTTACACATAGTCTCTCCCATGTCCACACTTTTAGATTATGAACTTTCACAAACATAATATTTCCGAACAAATATTTCTTCAAGATAATATTTACGTACATTTATTTTTATTATAAATAATTTATTTTTACAAAAAAAAGAAAATATATTTAAATGATTGGATTTTTGAATCGAGGTGTTTCAATTGGCAAGTGACTGCTCTAGTTATTGAGCTATCTCAGTTAAACGCAAACAATGACAAAAGTAGGTGTATTATTTTTGAGAACTCTCCAACTGATTTCTTGCTTCAATTGTAGGATAAAACATTTGAGGAAAGAACTATAACCAAATAAGCAAAATTCGGAGAAATCAATAAAATGCATAATTACCATTGAATAAGCCAATGGCTACAATGGATGGTTCAGTTGGATGATATGCCAATGTCGTTACGCAGGCATTTGTTTCCAATGTTTTATTTGGATTATCCGTGAAAATACCCTCTTTTGTTTGATTGTACAGTTGTATTTTGGATAGATGGTCACACCAGGTTTCATGATAAAAAATACCATAAGAAACTGCTAATGTTCCACCTCCAATGCTCCAACTTATATCACTGACTTTCATCTAAAAACATTATGAATATATAAATAATACAAAGGCATCACAGATACGTAAAGTATAAAGGATAAATATCTACCTGAGACTCTGATTCGACGCTATTAATCTTTTGCAGGAATTGCGTGCTTGTGAGTGAATCATCATCAGTCTTGGGTTCGTAATCTTCAAACGCATTGGTTCCATACGATTCGTCTAATACTTCTAATATACCTGGTGTAACTCTGTTCAAAAATTGGGCTAGCCTTTCATAGTTCACCTCGGGTTTCCTCTTTTCTTCAGTTACGGTTTGAGTCTACAAAACGAAAAGAAGAGATTATTAAAATCAAAATTTATTTACTCGTTTTTTGAAACACCTGCGAGCACCTCGACAGTTCTTGTTTCAACGGTTTGCACAGGGTTTTGATTATAAACAATTTCTGTTGTTTGAACGTTCGCAGATTGTTGTGATCTGAAAAATATTAAATAATGAAAATAAATGAAAGAATTTTAAATTTACACACATATATGTAGAAATATAAGATTTAATACACGCACTTCGTAGTGGACAGTTGCGAGTTGAAACTCACGGCTTCGAGCGAGCGATTAACAAACATTGTTGTGTATATCATAAGTTGCGTAATTCGTGAAAAATTTCTCTAAGCTACCAAATTCTTTACGATTTTATATTAATTCAAAAATCAGGGCATTCCGGTGAGGGAAGTTCAATAATGTTAATTAGAATTTCGTTTTATTCGGCAAGTTTTAGATCTGCAATGCGTGAATTTACATGTACGAACCAGCTGATTGATATCACAGCGTCATCTAAAAGAAACAATTTTAAATAAAAATTAATAGATAAAGAAATAAGCAACTATTTATCAATGAAAAATAGAATAGATCTAACATACCTTTTAGTAGTAATATAGTTTAATATAATAGATATAACTTAATATATCTGGTTTATTAAAAATTAAATGTTATTCGAACAAGTGTCTCCACCTGTTGAGCAGAATTCGCAAATTTTTATTACATGCATAGGTCAAATGAGACGTAAGAAGAAAGTTTGGGGGCTAAGTACAAACCTATAATTACAAACGTACAAAATAGAAGCTAGGCGTCTTAAACGGACGATATAATTTCAAAAACTGTCAAATTATTCCTCTTTATTGGTTTTTACAAATTAGTGCAAAGTGCTTTGACATCGACGAGGTATTCGTCTGTGCTATAATGAACGTTGCTGTGCTGAATCGATAACATCGCATGCGACATGAAAATGGTAAGGGAGGCAAACGACCCTCAAAACGTGAAACACGAAAGTGCATAAATGCAAGGTTCGCATATTTTATATCTCGTTCGTGCTGTAACTAAAATATATCATTAATATAACGATACAATAATTATTAATATAATACCATTCTAATTGAAGATTCTAGAAAAAAGATTACAAGTGACAATCGAAGATTGCAAACGAAAATTAAGAAATGAAAAAGAAAATGCTGTAATCGCATTTGATCTGTGATCTATTCAACAAAGGAACAATTATAACGAGCCGACGCGTGTAAATGTTGTAAAAGACGATATGTACGTAAACCGTACGTTTCAATTTGCCGCGCATTGCGCGCGCACGTTTCATGGCGGCGGTGTCATGTCGTAGTGGCCGTCAGTCAAAGCGCTGTCCGCCGTGGCTTTCCAAGGGAAATTTTGTGGTTCAGTGACCAGTCGTCTCCGTCTCTTCGTCTTGCGTTCTCACGGAACAGCCGAGGTTACTTTCGACGGACTAGTATCAACAAATCGCCAAGACGAAGCTTAAAATGCCATTGGTAAGTTCGTCCACCTTTCGCCTCGGTTTATTCTCCCTTCTTTCTTTTTGTTTCTATCCGTTCTGCCCGTCGCCCGAGACGTCTATCTCGCCACTTTTTCTCGCGTTCCATTTACTTTGCGAATATCGAGCGTTGCGCGATGTTGTCACTGATCGATCATTGATCGACGTGAAATTTATCACGAACCATCTCATTGACAAGATAGCTTGGGTGCGGTTTTATGGTTAGGCAAATAGAAATGTGTTCGACGTGCGAGTCAGTAGCGAAAAAGGTGAGGAGAAAAAAAAAACGAGTGTAAAAGTTGGAATTCTAATTTTTTACAGCGACGTCGCGGGAAAATGTTGATCGCGAGATGTTTATTGGATCTGGTTCTTGCAGGGCAATCACGCTGCCCTTACACCCCTGGAGGACATGTCAGCTGGTCGGGGGCAAGCAGGTGGGGGGCCTCCTCCGAATTGTCAGAAAGTTTTTATACAACGTGACTACAGTGAAGGCACCATGGTTAAGTTCCAGACGCAATTTCCAACGGAATTGGAGAGCAGAGTATGTACCTGAAAAGTTCATTTCTGCATACGAGGTTAATTTCTTGGTTATCTCTGTTTCATTCTCAAGCATCATTGAATTATATACATTTTTGCAAAGGGATTGCCACTTTAGACTTGCCCCATTGACAATGTATGTTCCACTCTATTCTGATCACTTATGCTTTTTATCTTCAAGTATTTCACATAGGGTCAGCAGTTATGGAAACATATCCCTTAGTGATTTAACTTTTCGCGAGTGAATTAGGCACTAACACATCAATGGAATATGTTATATGTTATGTGTGTATATATATTATGAATATATATTTTGTTATATGTGTAATGGAATTTATGGAATATGTTTGCTATCTTGTTTCCGAATTTAGCTGGACAGACAGTCGTTCGAGTACACAATCACTCAGTTGAACAACTACTTCGCAGAAGCCGAACGAGCCAGTTGTTCCACGTACTGCGAAGGCTGCCTGGCTTGCCTCACTGGTTATTTAATTTACATATGTACGGAGACTCATTACGAGAAGTGTTTAAGAAAAGTGGCGAAGTTTGTTAGTGAACAGAATGACAGAGTCTATAAGCCTCGTGGCCTGTTACTAACGGATCCTGTAATGCGTGGCCTTAGGCTAATAGAAATCTCAGTACTGGACAGACCTGCGTCGTGACTGCACATTAGCCGATCCAGGGAGTTCTTTATGTGATGTCCGCGCACCTCTGCCACTTTGCTGGAATTGCAAAACCTACATGAGCTAATGAGTGTCTCTGGACATAAATTTCGTTCAAATCTCCAACTCCTACTTTACAGTTTAATTCGTGCAACGTGAATTCCGCCGGAGAATTCACAGAGCTGAATGGGAAACGGTTTCACAGCTTTTCAGTGAATGATACTGTAAACATACATGCAACGCGTTTGCCGAATAACGCGGACGGAAGTCGACTTCTTCGACTTCGACAGTGTCGATTAGAATCGACTTGCTCCGTTTTTTAATAACCGGACTTATACTCGATCGAACGTAACGAAGTTCGTTGACATTTCGTTTGAGACTCTCGATCGTGAAACACAGTAAACAAACTTTCGCTGGATTTGTTCCGGGGAATAAGGGCGCCATTACTCTTTCTTTGCATGTATGTTTTACGATCAATTGGAATTATTGGTATCATGTACCGAGTTACGACGAATCTGCTGGTTGCGTACCAAGGCCATTATATAAGTTCAATTTTCTATGCATACAACAATACCAGTGTAAACAATCGACGCGAAGAATCTGGATGTGTCTTTATCTATATAGCAATGCATCGAGTTACAGTAAACGAGTATGTACAGATTTTGCTCCGCACACCCAGCTTCTTTGCACCTCGAGCAAACGTTGAAACAGTTCTTTTTTTTTTTTTTTTTTTTTTTTTTTTTTTTTTTTTTTTTTTTT